CCAGGAGTTCAAGACTGCAGTGAGCTATGATTGTGTCAGCCTGGGAGACAGAGCAAGACCCTGTTTCTAAAGGAAAAAAAAGAGGAGTGAAAATACAACTATAGAATGGGAGAAAACATTCACAAATCATTTATCTGACAAAAGACTTAAATCCAGAATATACAAAGAAAACCTAAAATTCAATAACAAAATGTTAGATAACCCAATTTAAAAATGGGCAAAAGATCTGAATAGACACTTCTCTAGAATATAGACAAATAGCCAATACACATAAAAAAAATGCTCAACATCATTAGCCTTTAAGAAAATACAAATCAAAACCACAATGAGATACCATTTTAAACCCACTGGAATGGCTATTACAATAACATAACCATAGTTACAAATGTTGTTGAAGATGTGGAGAAATTGGAATCTTTATACAGTGCTGGTAAGGATGTAAAATGGTGCAGCTACTGTGGAAGAGCCTAGAGTTTCCTTACAAAGTTAAGCACAGGCTGGGTGCATGGCTCATTCCTGTAATCCTAGCACTCTGGGAGGCCAAGGCAGAAGGATAGCTTGAGCTCAGGAGTTCAAAACCAGGTTGAGCAAGAGTGAGACCCCATCTCTACCAAAAATAGAGAAAAATTAGCTGAGTGTTGTGATGCGTGCCTGTAGTCCCAGCTACTCAGGAGGCTGAGGCAGGAGGATCTTCTGAGCCCAGGAGTTGGAGGTTGCAGTGAGTTGCAATAATATCACTGCACTCTAGCCAGGGCGACAGAGCAAGATTATGTCTCAACAACAACAACAACAACAACAAAAACAAGGAAACAGAATTACATGTTATAAATCAAGATAAAAAGTATAAACATGCAATGCATATACCTGAAAAAACAAAGTTTGAGCACAGAGTTACCATATGACCCAAGATAACTGAAAACATGTGTTCACACAGCAACTTGTACACAAATGTTCCTGGCAGAATTATTCATAATAGCTCCAAAGTGGAAACAAACTATCCTTTAACTGACACATGAATAAACAAAATGTGGTCCATCCACACATGGGAATATCATTTAGTAATGAAGAGAATGAACACTGACACATGCTACAACACAGAGAAACCTTGAGGACATAATGGTGAGTGAACAAAGCCAGGCACGAAGACCACTTACTGTACGATTCCATTTATTTAAATTGTCGAGAGTAGACAAATCCATCAAGACAGAAAGCAGGTTAATGGTGCCAGGGCTTGAGGCAGGGAAGGGTCTGCTGACAGGCCCAGGGCATCTCTGTGGGATGTGGACATGCTCCTGGACGTGGACAATGGTGATAACTGCAAAACTCTGAATGGACTGAGTTTTTAGTACACTTTAGACCACTGAGTTTTTAGTACACTTTAAAGAGTAAATTTTATAGTATGTGAATTACATTTCCATAATAAAAAAAACTGCCATTAGAGGGGGTCCAGAAGATGGGAGGCGGCTAGCAAGGGTGCTCACCAAGGGATGCCAGCGAAGAGGCTCTGGAAGCAGTAAGCTCTGCTGCACTGCCCACCTTCGGCCAAGATGCCCTGTAAGGCAGTTGGGGTGTCCAGGAACATGAAAGGGCAGATAGGGGTGGAGTTGTTAGATCAAGCGCCATATAGGCAGAGCAGCAAAAAGGCCTCTCACAAGAGTGAGACACTGTCTCTACTAGAAATAGAAAGAAATTAATTGGCAAACTAAAAATATATAGAAAAAAAAAATTAGCCGGGCATAGTAGCTCATGCCTGAAGTCCCAGCTACTCGGGAGGTTGAGGCAGTAGGACTGCTTAAATCCAGGAGTTAGAGGTTGCTGTGAGCTAGGCTGATGCCACGGCATGCTAGTCTGGGCAACAGAATGAGACTCTGTCTCAAAAAAAAAAAAAAGTAAAAAAGATTTTGGCTTTTTTGGATAGTTAGTGGAAACATCTGCAAAATAAATTATAAGTATAGGGCTCATGTTCTTCAGATACAAATTTGAGCATCAAAAAATAAAAAATATTGTAGAAAAATAGGCAAAAGGTAAAAACAAGAATTTCACAAAGGTAATGGTAACCCATGGAAGATGCCTGCTTTACTCATCATCAGAGCCCAAAGCCCAGGCTGCATTGAGACCCCCATCCCCACACTTCAGCACCCTTCATTGGAAGCAGTGGGCAGATGGTGCAGGGTGGGTACAGCGTGCTGGACCCTGTGCAGGGCACATGGCAATGGCACTGAGTGCAGTCACTCTTGAACCCTGCAATCCCTCGTCTGGAATTTACCTGAAGATATATCTCCAAAACACAAAACTACACAAGCACAGGCTATTAACTGCAGCATACTTATAACTGTAGAATATTGGAAATGACCTATACATCCAACACAATACTGTGGTAGACATGCAACAGAGACCCCAGGAAGCTTCAAAAAATGAGGGGGATGATCTTGATGTTCTGAGAGGCAGTGATTTCCAGGGATGTTGTTATGTGGAACAAGCAAAATACACAAAGAGCACATAAATCATGATATCTTTTGTATAAGAATGAAGGGAAAATTTAAAAAAACCCACAACATCTGGAAACACAAAACACAAGAGTTAAACCATAAAACAAGAAGTTTCCTACCTGCAACAGGTAGGTGGGGGCACAGGAAAGGATATGGGCCCTTAATGAATATACCTTTCTTAGAGTTTTGACTTATGGAAACATTTGAATGATCTATAGATGTAAAAAAAAATTACATAAGTAAGAATAGGAAGGGAGAAGAATAAAACTAACTGAAACAAGTGAACCCAATTATATTTCGATGAATGTTATAACCACAAGGAAGTGCAAAAAAGAGATAACTAATCCAAGTAATTTATGAACTCAGGATTAGATTGTGTTCCTCATTCCTGGCTCAAGTGTGCATGTGGGGAATGCAAATGAATCCCAACTTTTTGTAGTATGTACATTTTTTAAGTGGAATGGGTGAAGCAATTCTGCAATAATTTCATACATACAGATAAATAAATGTGTAAATGCATTAATATTCTTGGGAGCCAGGGCTGTTACCAAGGAGGAAGAGACGTGATGAACTAGAAGACCAAAACAACTCCGTATGGGACTTGACTGGAACTGGGGTTGCATGTGTATGTACACAGGGTACATGTGCATTTGTGTACATGTGTATACACATCCACAAATTTTCTAGTTCTGTATACTTAATTGGCCAAAAAGCAAATACATTCAGGAGCAATGCACATGTTAAAACCAGACCTTGTTCTTTGAGACCAGTCTTCCCTGAAGGAACCAGGGCTGAGCAGGGCAGTTGTACCACAAAGAAGTACTCAAAAGAATGATGGGGACATCAGGACATGGGAGCCAGTATGAAGGAGTCTCACTGGCCAATCTTGGAGAGAGTGAGCACCAAAGTAATTCAGTGCAGGAATGATACAAACCATGTAAAACAAAAAGGAGCCATAAGTCCACACCAAATGAACAATGGGAGAGAAGGCTCCTGCTAAGGTGGAATGTCGAGTGCCAGCCACAGTGTGGAGGGAGCATGGGAGCTGGATCCAGCGTTCTGCAGCAAGCAGCCTGGGAAAGACTGGCTCACATTAGAAACAACAGAAATGTCAAAACTGAAGGGCACAGACCCCAGAGTGCTCAGAGGTTGCTGGGGAGGAAGGAATCACACCACAGCGAAGCAGGCAAGGCCTCCACTGGGTGATCAGAAGGAGCATCACCAAATGAGGGGCACAGACAGCACATGTCTGCAGATGTGGGATCCCAGAGGGACTGATATGACCCATGTGGCATCCTGCTAAGAAATTGCCAGACAAACCCAAGCCCAGGAAAGCTCTATTTAAATGTCAATGTTGCAAAGACAGAGAAAGGCTGTGGAAGTCTTCCAGATTAAAAAACGGCTAAGAAGATAGCAGCCAAGGCCAAGCTGATCCAGAGGAACCCTGCACTGGCCAGGGAGGGGAGACTTGAACAAGGACAGCAGGGGACCAGCTGGCATGGCTGGCAGGCAGCAGAGCAGACCAAAGACTTGAGCCACTGCCAGGCTCACCAGAGATGCCAAGTGTCAGGGGCTACACCCAAGAACAGCCTGAGGGACACACACTTGAATGTTGCACCCCGCCCCCTCCCAGAGGGTTCAGAAGAAAGCAGCGGGCAAGCAATGCCAACAAAAGGTGGGCACAGGTGCACAAGCGCTCCCAGGACTGCTTTCAGTCTTGTAACTTTTCTGTAAGCATTATTTCCAAATAAGGAGTTAAAAATTACACAAATAAAAATAATGACCTATGCCTACCGGCATCTGTGTGGATCAATGCCCAGAGGGGGTCTGAGCAATTGGAGTCAGCTACCCAATGGGCGTGGCATGTCAGGCCCAGGCTGCAAGGTCCACCTGAGATGGGGCAGACGCTGTGCAGAGGGGACAGAGGCGAGGCCATGCCCAGGACAGGCATCTAAGCGAGGGTACAGTACTTTCAAGTTCAGAAGCACCAAAAAGCGGCCAAAGCTCAAGCAAAACTGTGTGCAAGGGGCATCACACACCTAGGATGAGGTGAACAAGCATACTTCTACTAAGCTCCCTGCTTCCAGTGCTTTTTCTTTTTCTTTTCTTTTGAGACAGAGCCTCCCTTTGTTGCCCAGGCTAGAGTGAGTGCCATGGTGTCAGCCTAGCTCACAGCAACCTCAAACTCCTGGGCTCAGGCAATCCTTCTACCTCAGCCTTCCGAGTAGCTGGGACTATAGGCATGTGCCACCATGCCTGGCTAATTTTTTCTATATATTTTTAGTTGGCCAATTAATTTCTATTTTTAGTAGAGACGGGGTCTCACTCTTGCTCAGGCTGGTTTCGAACTCCTGACCTTGAGCAATTCGCCCGTCTTGGCCTCTCAGAGTGCTAGGATTACAGGTGTGAGCCACTGCAACCGGCCTCAGTGTCTTTTCTAAAGGAGGGGTCGTGCCCTCCCACCTCCCTGAGTCCTGGATGGCTCAATGGATGTGAGTGGCATCTCCTTACCTAGTGCTCGATCCCGAAATCCTTGACTCCTGCACATCGGCATTATGACTCCTGCATTCGTAATCCTGCGCCTGGGACATTGCCATCTGTTTCCTCAGCGCCAAGGGGACAGACGTCAGCAGATCATCAGGACAACTCCAGCATCAGATGGGAAGGCGCTGCACTGTGAGAGAGGATAAGCGTCTAAGCTCCAATGTGGAAAATACCTTATTACAATCAACCCAGCCCAGCCTGTCACCACCAAGTGACTGGCCAGAATAAGTAGCAGACACCCCAGCACCTGTGAGCCCCCGAGGCAGCCAAGAGCCCTGGACTGTTCTTTGTGCTCAGCCCCTGCACAGCTGCAAGGCCAGCCAGGCCTCCTGGGCAGCAGGCAGAGCTGCTTGCCAGCCAGATCCAACCCAAGACAACCATGGCTAGGTGGGCACATGCTGAACCTGGAGGGCCCGTAGCACTTGAGGACTGGGAGGGTGCATGGGAGGACATGGGACCCATTCTGCCCTCACACTCAGCCTGACATCTGAGATTCAATGCCCTCAGCTGTGAACAGACAACACACAACCAGCAGTTTCTGGGGAATGGAACAGGGCAACATGCATGAAGCACATGACACAGTCCCCACACAGGGTGGTGCTCAAAAACAATCCATGCACATATAGATCACCTGATTTATGAGGAAAAACAGCCTTTTCAAAAACAGTGTTGTGTTGACCAGATATATAGATTATATATTATAGATCCTTGAACAACATGGGTTTAACCTGTGCAGGTCCACTTATACACAGATTTTCTTCCTTCTCTGCCACCCCTGAGACAGCAATACCCACCCCTCCTCTTCCTCAGCCTATTCAATGTGAAGATGATGAGGATGAAGATCTTTATGATGATTCACTTACACTTAGTGAATAGTAAATATTTTCTCTTACTTATGATTTTCTTAACAGTTAAGCTTTTCTTTAGCTTACTTTATTGTAAGAATAGAGTATATAATACATATAACATACAAAATATGTGTAAATTGAATGTTTATGTTATGGGTAAGGCTTCTGGTCAACAGGAGGCTATTAGTTAAGTTTTGGCAGAGTCAAAAGTTACATGTGGATTTTCAACTGAAGGGAGTGTTGGCACCCCTAACCCCCAAGTTGTTCATGGATAAAATTGTTGTTGTTCAAGGAAAAAGTGAAGCTTGGCCTGTACCTCATCTAATACACAAAACTTAAGGCTAGATAAACTGCAGATCTAAATAGTAAAAGTAAAACAATATAAAGCTTTTAGAAAAAGTGTAGAAGATCTCTGTGGCCTACAATAGGCACAGATACCTTAATCAGACACACACAAAAAGAAAACAGTACACAAAAGAAGAATGAATAAATTGGACAGTAATAAAATTAATAATATCTGTTTATCAATAAACCATTGAGAATAAAAAAGGCAAGTCCAAAGTGGGAAATATTTGCTATGCAGAATATGAGTAATACACCACATACGAGTGTTCACAATCTGACAAGGGACCATGTCCGAAACATATAAAAATTCTTACAAATAGAAAAAAAGCAGATAACCCAATAAAAAATGGACAAAAGAATTCATACTTTAGAAGAGAGAATATCTAATTAAAAAGAGATTATCTAAATGGTTAATAAAAACATGACAGAAAATGTGCTCAACTTCACTGTCATCGGGGAAATGCTAATTATTAAATAAAATTAGTACATAGAACAAAACAGCTAAAATGGAAAGACAAAATCTATCAAGTGCTGGCAAGGATGAGGAGCAAGAAGACAGCTAGTATACTGCTGGTGGGATCTAAACAGGTTAACCCATTCCAGCCCTTGGCTTGGCACTGTTATTAAGCATGAAATGTTTTATTTCCTTAAGTACCAAGTTTGACAGCTGATATTTCTGACATTTCTCTTTGATACTTCTTGTTTTATTTCTATTGTGAAGGTACATCCTTATTCTTTCAAATGCATAGTTTGGCTTGTGTTTATCTTTCACATTTTTTTAGAGCTATTTTTGTGAAAACATGGATAAGTCAAAAGTGTTATTTTCGAGTATGAGTTCTGTCATGGAACCAATGCAGCACAGACAGCTCGAAATACCAACAAAGTATTTGGGAAGGATGTGGCTAATGAATGTCAATGGTTTGAGAAGTTCTGTTCTGGTGATTCTCATCTTGAAAATGAGCCACGTGGACGACCTGAGACCCAGGTGGATAATGGTGAGTTGAAAGCTGTAGTGGAAATGAATCCATCTCAACCTATGTGTGAATTAGCAGCAAGCTTTGACGTTACTATTCCAACAGTATTGGACCATTTGAAACAAATCGGCAAGGTAAAGAAGCTGGATAGATGGGTTCCGCATGAATTAAACGAGCGTCAGAAGAGAAATTGTCTCGCAGCTTGCCTTTCTTTGCTGTCACAACATAAAGGCCAACCATTTCTACACCATATTGTTACATGTGATGAAAAATGGATTCTTTTTGACACTTGCAAGCGTTTTGGTACAATGGTTAAAGATGATGTGCTGAAACACAGTTTAAAACTGAATATTCATCAAAACAAGTTAATAGTGTCTGTTTGGTGGTCCAGTGTTGGTGTTATCCACTACAGCTTCATGAGACCTGGTCAATCAATTAAAGCAATTTCTACTGCAACCAGCTGGATGAAATGATGAGGATGCTTGTGTTAAGCAGCCAAGATTGGTCCATAGAGACAGGTCGATCCTCTCACAAGACAACACTCGACCATGTGTTGCACAGACAATGCTGCTCAAACTATAGAGGCTGGACTTGGAAACTCTGTTATCCACCACATTCAGTAGTCCTTGCACCAACTGACTACCACTTCTTCCAGGCTTTGGACCACTTCTTGCAAGGAAAAATATTCAATTATCAAGAAGCTGTGGAAAACGCCTTTCATGATTTCATCACCACTCGCTCTCCAGGCTTCTGCGCTGCTGGCATAAACAAGCTACCCTTAAGATGGCACAACTGTGTAGATAGTTTAGGCTTCTTGTTTGAGCTATAATAAACTAAAATTTTGATCTGAAATCAGACATTTCATATTTAATGACCTAATATTTCCTAAAGCTGCACACACACCCCATCCTGGGACTCAGGGCTTCCAGCATTGGAGACCAGTGGAAGTGCACACACACATAAACACACACACACACCCCAAGACTGCAAGCAGTGATCCCAGCAACACTGTTCATGACAGCCCAAATCAGAAGCTACCAAATACTAACCCACAGGAGGATAGGCACGCAAAGTACATGCAGAAACCTAAAGCAGTGAGACTGTGTAATCCACTCACAACAACTGGGTCAATCGCCCAAAGGGGAGGGAGAGAGAAAGGCCAGGCACAACTGAATACATGCAGTGTGGTTCCCTTTCATAAAGTTCAAAATCAGACAAAAGCAGCTTCTGCTGTTAGAAACCAGAACCGACTGCCCCACTGTTTGCAGCCTGGGCACCCCCCTTACCATGGCTGGTTTATAACAGCCCACAGTGCTCCATCACGCACTGTGCCCAAGCTTGACTTTGGTAAGATCTGCAGAAAGGAGAAACGGGTATCACTGTGGTGGGCTCTGTCTCCTTCCTCCTTGACCACCACAGCTGCTATCATGACAAGACCCTCCCAGAAGGAAGAGGAAATAAAAAGACTGAGAGCAAGGAGAAGGCAGAGCTAACCCTGGAGAAATCAAGGAAAGAGACACATGCAGGGCAATCAGAAACTCTGTCCAAGTTCCAGATAGATTGGGGGGCCAAAGTCCAACCTACATTCACTCAATTCACAAGTTGGAGAACTCCCTCCTTGGAGGAAATGCTCTAAGCCTTCTTCTTTCTGTCGTGTAAATATCCATGCAACTAGTTATTTAAATGCTCAAGACTACCAGGAATGTTATTTTTAAAATTGAAATTCAAATATTTCTAATTTCTTGTACGTCTGAGAAGAAAAAGGTGACCCTCATATCACGTCAACATTTTTAAAAAGTAAAAGAGCAGTGTTAGTAAAATTCTGAGAAACTAAGAAGTATCTACCATGGCCTGACAGCAACTTGAAAAGACCATTTCACCTGTACACCTTTCAGGCCTCACCTTGTCCTCAAGGCTGGTCTAGAACAGAACACGCAGCAGTCAGCAAAGACCAGGACCTCCCACATGTCTGACTGACCCTCCTCGTGTTTTCCAACTCACACTTCATCTCTGGAAACTTCCTCCAAACTGAGACACATGTCTTGGTGAGCCCAAATGGCCCTGGTCTGTAATCAGCTAGTGTTCAAACTTGGCTTTTCATTTTTATGTAATTTTAATTATTCTACGTCCTTTGCACTTCTTTATGAATTTAAGAGTCAGCTTCTCAATTTCTACAAAATAGCCTACTGGATATTGACTACAATTGTGTTGAATCTATAGATCAATATGAGGAAAACTAACACCGTAACAATATTGAATCTTCTGATACGTGAATGCAATATCTCTCTCCATCCAGTCAGGTCTACTTTCTTCTAATGATACTTTATAGTTTTCAGTGTATAAATCTTATAGTTTTCAGTGTATAAAAAACATGTTTATTTAGTTAAATGTATCCCTAAGCATTGTATATTTTTAATATTAACAAAATATTTAAAATTTCCAATTGTTTATTGCTGGTAAAGAAAAATATTATCTTCCAGTAGAAGAGGAAAGTTAAAAAAAAAAATTAAAAAAAAAAAGAAAGAAAAATATTATCTGTTTTTATAATTTGATCTTGTACCTATAACCTTGCTAAACTCAGTTTTTAGTTACAATTACTTTTTTTTTATTTGGTAGATTCATTAGGGTTTTTACATAGATGATCATGTCAACAGTAAACAAAAACAGTTTTACTTCTTCTTTTCCAGTCTAGATCCTTTAGATCAGGGGTCCTCAAACTTTTTACTTATTTATTTTCAGACAGAGTCTCACTTTGTTGCCCAGGCTAGTGCCGTGGCATCAGCCTAACTCACAGCACCCTCAAAGTCCTGGGCTCAAGCGATCTTGCTGCCTCAGCCTCCCCAGTAGCTGGGACTACAGGCATGCGCCACCATGCCTGGCTAATTTTTTCTATATATATTAGTTGGCCAATTAATTTCTTTCTATTTATAGTAGAGCCGGGGTCTCGCTCTTGCTCAGGTTGG